TATATATAGTTTGGAAACATTGATAACTTTAGTGCTCATAAAAAGTTGGTTACAAGTTTTGAAGGTTAGGGGATCCCTCTCCAAAAACGCAAAATAAGTACATTAATACTTCCATCACCTTGCTTACAACTCAAACAAAAAGTGCTTAAGAAAAAAAAAACAAGTAGCCTAAAAAAGAAAGACTCCAAAAATGCTAATAATTATACCTAGTAACAACAATAAGTATCATTCAAGAACATAGCTTCCTTTACCAAAAGGAGTGCCTTTGAATGTAATCCTTTTTTTTGCGACATACTTGTCTAGTATCCGTCAAACCAAAAATTATCAAGCCACAGTAATGTAATCTTGCAAGAAAAGAGAGAATATATAATAAATGAAGTTTTCAAAGGATGAAGCAACAATCAATAAAAATCCTAACAGAAGTTTAAAATCAACATCCCCAGGTAACAAATCATCATTGGTTCTCCAAGTACCTTTGAATCGACACTCAGCTCACCAATGATAGAACAATAGCATAAAAACCCCACTAATCATCGCATTACCATAAATCTCTGGCCATAGGTCCGAAAAAAATAGGCAGCAAAACATAAAAAACCGAGCCTCTCTCTATCCCAAAACAACAGTCAAAAGCTAGTAACACAAATAAACATGAACCCGCAGCCAACCCAACCAGAAATCATAGCAAAAATCCATCCAGCTAAATAAAATATAGAAGTTAACCAGCAGTCCCCAAGAAAATCTCAACCAGTGAGGCTCAAACATGTCTCGGGGTAGGGAACTTGAGACATGTTGTTGTAGCCATCAAGAAATAAACCCACCAGCCGAAGCATCAATTCAAAAACAACTATGTCAGTTCAAGTTAGCAACGAGATAATCAGCCGCCACCCAATATATTAATAAGACCACCCTAGCAAAAAAATATAGCACTTTTGCACGGATATAAGGAGTATAAACTTTTTCATTATCGATCAAGCATTTCAGAGTATACGGGGGAGTGCACGTCAAATTAACCTCATCAACTCGAGATACATATCTTGTAAGCTAATTGATTGGAAAATTACCCTCACTTGGTATGTAACTCCAGAAAATATGCATGTCCCTAGCAAGAAGCAATATTTGCCGCACAATAATTATCAAATTCCATGACAGATATTTATCTTGCTTAACATAAGGAAAGAGCTTCAAATAGTTTGTTTTGATATGAATGTACCAGCAATTGAAAAATATGATAGCTTTTAAGGTTAACCAAGCCACACGTAGCTCAGCTTCAATAGGAGAGTTAACATCAATAGAAGAAGAAAAAAGAACAGACATTTACCAAAACTTCCTCGGAATACCCTACATGCCCCCCACCCCCCTGTATTAGTGCTCCAACTACCATCAATTTTAGCCTTAATTCATGCATTAGCTGACCTCTACCATTTAATTTCATAAGCCACCTGATGACAAACATGTTCTCTTAATGACTGATTAGAAGCATCAATAGGATCAAGAAAGTTAAATAAAATGCCACCATAACGATTAATTTTGCGAATATAGCATAAACGTTAGCCACAACTTTATTTTCCTACGCCCCCTCGACATCATATTTCACATTGTTAAACATCATCTAGATAAACCAAACAACTATATGGTAATAAGTGAAAACGCTGTGTTTTCCAACCCAAAAGACAATCTTCTAAATTATGCCACCCCCTACCGGTGTAATGCTACCAAATAAAGCATCAATCCTGGATCAAACCCCACACGAAAAGAGGCAATAAAATAACAAGTGATCCCTCGACTCCTCCTTTTTACACAGAACATGTTTTGAAGGTATTTTTAAACCTTTCAGTTTAAAGATATCATTAAATGATAAAAGATTTGAGTGAAATCTCAAAATAAGAAGGATATCAACAGTGATATGTTTTTTCTCCAAATGTGTTTACCCCAGTTCTTTGGACTCCATGAGTGTAGCTTCAAATATATCTCTTTAATTATTGAAAATGTAATGGGTAAATTGGTAATCATCCTATCTTTTTTTTGTTACATCTATTGGGTTCTTAGATATAGAATTAGAAAGATCTATCCCAATCTTATTCCTAAGGAGATTAATGTTCCAACCATTATTGATCTAGAAATCAACCACAGTAAAGTCCTCACACTCCTCTTTATTCCCCTCGGTTAGATCTTCCATGAAAAAGTACACATCACCATTCCCAATATCCCAAATAATGTAGCTCTTGGACCATTCCCTTGCTTTGAGAATAACTTTCCAAACCTTAGAATTTCCAGTTTTGAAATCTATTTGGGAAGGCTATGTGTCTCTACAATATTTTGAGTGCATATATATATGACCCATAGTGAGGTACAAGCCCTAAA